AGGCTAAAAGCAGGAGGATCACTATGAGTCCGAGCTGTGTACTGAGACCCTGCAGCAACCAAACACATTAAAAATAATAATAATAAGGGTCAAATGAATAAATATTTTTAAGCCTTTTTCATTCTGTTTCCAGATTTTCATTCAGAGACACTGGGCCAGTTTATATCCTTCCAAGCTGGGTTAGCCTGTCTGTTTCTTCACATCCTAGCCCGTACCAAGTTTTATAATTCCACTTATTTATTTATTTATGGTTCTGGGGATCGAACTCAGGATTTTGTGCTTGCCAGGCAGGTGCTCAAGCCATTGACCTATCGCCCCGGTCCCCAAATTTTATAATTTTAAATTGTTCCTAACTTTAAAAACATTCCTTGATATGATATCTTGGTTCTAGTTGCATTTACTGTACTGCTCTGAGCATGAACATTTTATTGGCCATTTATATTTATTCTCTCTAATAAATTATTTTCTTTACCTCTTGCCAGTTTTCTGTTGGGCATTCTTGTTTTAAAATTTTATTTGTATGTTTTTTTAGATATATCAAAGTTATTAATCTTTATCACATACAGTATATATCCCAGTTCTTGGGCCTTTTGTTTTTCTTCATTGTTGTTTTGATAGAGCAGCTGTAGGTTTACAGCATAGCTGAGCGGGGCGCGCAGAGATTTCGCGCGTGCTCCCGGGCCCAGCTGTGCCCACGCCCCCAGCATGTACCCCACCAGGATGGTGCTGTGTCCCCAGTGGGCCTCCTTCGGCCCATCTTTACCACTCGAAGCCTGTGGTTCACACTTGCTGTTGGGTGTTCTCTGGCTTGGGACAAAGTATAATGAGTGATACAATCCCACCATCGTGGCGTCACACAAAGTCACTTTAATACCTTAAACTCCCCCAGGCTCTGCCTCCCTGGCTTCTTTCCTCATACCCTGGAACCACTGACCTTTTCACTCTCTCTATAGTTTACCTTTTCGGGCGTGACAGGTAGCTGGAATCATGCGGTAAGCAGCCTTCTCAGACGGGCCTCCTTCGCTTCGTGGTTAGTCGCTAAGCTTCCCCGTGTCTTCTCGTGGCTGCTAGCTCTCCTCTTGTGGGCACTGAATGCTGCTCCGCTGTCTGGATGCACAACAGCTTGTCGTCTCTCCACTGCCTACCAAAGAACGTCTTGGTTGCTTCTCACTTTGACGGCTATGAGAGGTCACCAAAGGGTGAGGTTACTTCCAGGCTTCCCCTCCTGTCCCGTCCCACCACATCAGACCCCCTAGCCCAATCCTCTGAAATCCATACCCTCCTCCTGGCACACCCATGGGTGAGCTTTCCAGACACCAGATAAAAGACAGAGGCTCGCTGTGGGGGGTCCCTGGCAGAAGGACCCTACTGGTCCCATGGATGGAGGGCTGATTCCAAACCAGGAAGGAGTCCCAGAGAGAGGTGGCTACCACACCCCATCCCCTAGCAACTTGCCTCCAGGCAGAATTCTGCTTGAACCCTTTCACAGTTCCTTGGGGGAGAATTATTTGCATCAATTAATTGATTGATTCATTAAGTCACACTGTGCTAAAGTCTACAGCTGGGGCTTCATTGACTTTTCCTTCAGCAGACTCCAAAGAAAAACAAGAGCAAAGTTAGAGGTTGAGAGATCTTAAATAATGTTAACTTCTAGCCTGTGTCTCTTTCACCTTGGGAATCACAACTCATTGTGCCTGGAAATTCCTTCCTTTTCTCTCAAGGTTTTCCAAAAGCCAGACCCTTCCTATGTGTATCAGTTATCTACTGCTGCATAACAAACCACCCCATCTTGCATTAAAAAGCCATCTTTGCCTTGCTCACAGCTATCTGACTCGGTCAGGCTCACCTAGGGCTATTCTGCTAGGCCCCTTGAGGCTGCCTCAGGAGGCTACAACCACTGGGACATCACTGGCTGGAGGTTTGAAATGGCCCCTGTTTACATGTGGCCAGGCAGTGATGCTGACCTGCAGCTGAGTGTCCCCTGCTCCTGATTGATAGGTTCCGGCCGGAGTACAAACTGCTAAATTATCATGGCCCCGATTCAACATGGCTGAATCCCCAAAACAACAGTGTATCTTTCCAGTGACCACGTCCTCCTTCCTCCCCACCCTAGTCCCGGATACCTTTCCCACAAGTACAAGGGAACCCCCAATCAGCTCCTTGTGTGTCCCTGAACTCCCCTCAAACTCCACCCCGATGAAAAGCCCATAAAGTCTCAGCCTTCCTGTCTCAGGTCAGAGGATTCCCCCCATCTCCCTGCCATCTATCTTCTCTGTGTCCTCCTCAGTGGCAACAAAGGCCTTTCCTTCCCTTTCTTTTACCTCGGTGGTCTCTTGTCTTTCCTGCCTGGGCTGTACTGGAGGACCCTGCAGAAGCCAGCAGGCCTCTCGAGGACCCAGAACGTACATAGCAACAGTTACACCACATTCTCTTGGGCAAAGCAAGGCCTGCCCGCATTTCATGGGTGGGAGACAAATGTCACTCTTATGGGACTGGGAGGGCTGCGGAGAATATGAGTCATCTCTTAGTCGCAGCCTAATGGCTGACCGGCATGTTTTTCTGGATGGAGAAAGGACTCGTGTTCTAGGTGTTGTGGAAGTCCTGCTGGCTTCTCTCATTTCTGCTTTTGTATTTTGGCAATCTTTAGAAAATGATAGAAACTAAGAAATGCCATTTCTTAAAACTTAGCATCTTCCAGTTCTCTCCATAAAGCATCTTTTTTTCTATATTTAGGACAGTGTCTACAGGGTCTCACTACGTAGACTGGACTCATAGTGATTCTCCTGTTTTCAGCCTCCCAAGTGCTGGGATTACAGGCGCGCTACCACGCCCAGTCTCCATCGCTGTCTCAGCGCGCCCTAGGTGCCAGCACGGCACACTGTATAAAGCATTTTAAATAGATTTTTTAGAAAGATTTATTGGGCCAGACAGATAGCTCATCAGAGCCAGGGATCCATCCCCAGCATGCCTTGCCAGTTCCACCTCTGGGGCATGCTGAGATGGCAACTGAGACTGGGCATGGTGGTGCATGCCTGTAATTCCAGCACTTGGGAGGCTGAAAACGAGGATCACTACAAGTCCGATCTGTAGTGAGACCCTGTAGATCCTATACTAACTACATTTAAAAATATATTTATTTATTTGGTATAGGGCCTCTCTATGGAGCTTCGACTCCTAGTGATCCTCCTATCTCAGCCTCCCTAGTGCAGGGATTACAGGTGTGCACCACCACACCCGGTTTCGGTGGCCAGCAGGGGATATGGTACCAGACCCGGATCCCTGCACTTACCAGGCAGGTGTTTAGACTGCCAAGATATCTCCTCAGCCCACGTATAAAGCATTTTTAACTTAATAGCAACTTGAGAGTTATTGCCTGAATAAGCCATTCTTTTAATTTTTTTTATCCTTTTAATTTTAATGCTCTGCACAGAATAATTTTACAAACCAACTAAATAAGTAAATTTTTCAATGTTCCTGGTCTCTATTTCCTTTGAAGTTTCTTTTTTTTTTTTTTTTCCTTATGATTTTTATATTCCAAGACATCTTACATTTTCTTCCCAGGCCTGAGGCTTGATGCCTGTGTGTTATATGTCAAGCCTGGTGCTGGGAGCAGCAGAGGTAGCAGCCCCTGGCCCGCAGCAGTAAGCCTGGGGGAGAGTCCTTCACACCCTATGGGTGGCATCTGCTAACATGGCCACATGATCCAAGACACGGCCTCCATCCTCTTTTTCTAGTTCAAGCCCATGGGCTCTGGCAGGAGGTCCCAAGCATAGTCTGGCCTAATGAATCAGTCAATTAAATGACAGAAATAATTTCCCCCCAGGGAGTTGGAAGGGGTTTAAGAAGACTTCTGCCTGGAGGCAAGTCTCCGGGAGAAGGTGTATGGTATCCCTCTCGCCGGCATCCTTTCCAGGCCGGGAATTGGCCCATTCCCCTCCAGTGATGAACAGGGACCTTCTGCCCAGGACTCCACATGGGCAGCCTGCCTTGCATCTGCTTCTGGAAACCTCAGCCTCCCCACAGAGTGAGCAGGGCCTGGAGGGCCACCCTGGGGTGCACTGCAGTGAGAAGCACAGGGTGGAGCAAGGCCGCCACCTCGGCTTCCATGTTCCCTTCTGTAAGACCCTTATGAGGGCTGTGCGGGCGAAGCAGAGGTGGATCTGTGGACTGGCTGGTTCTATGAACAGTGATGTCACAGTGCTGGCTGGCCAAGGTCCACTGAATGGGACACTGCAAATTTCAGCCTTTGGGGACCTCACTTGCCTTGGAGTGCAGCTACCCAGGTGCTCCACATCTCTGCTTGGAGAACCCCTGTGCCCCTGGAAGTGGGTGGGCCTGGCTGGCCTGCTGCCTCCCACAGGTGCTGAGAAGCACGCCCCACCCACCAGGCCCAGGTTGTTCTTGGAGCAGCGAAGAACCTGGATAAGAAAGGCTGAGTGTGAGGGGCTCGGTCTGGAAGCCATCCTGGTCCTGGGAAGGGCCTGTCTGTGTGCTGAGCTCCAGCTAAAGAGCCAGCTCAAGAGAAGGCAGCCTGACCCTCATGGGGTCTGAGCCAGCTCTGCCCATGGCTCTGGTATTCTCTGGATGCTATTGTTGAATCTCAGGAGATGGAATTTAACCTGTGGTGTGGCTGAACCCGAGTAATAAAATACTTTGCCATCAGGAATGCGACCAAATTCACGGAACATTAGAAGGGATCAGGGTAGACTGTACTGCGAATTCAGGCTGTGAAGTAGACTGCAGGAACCCAGCTTTGTTCTCAAGCTTTGAGGACAAAGTGTGGGTTCAGGTCTCTGCTCCTCCACCAGTTAGCTGTTCAGCCTTGGGAAAAGTCGCTTAACCTCTCCAGGCTTCAGCCTCCGCTTCTATACGTTGGGGTGATGTTACTGTACATCTCATGGGGTTATCATGAGGATTATATGCAATAAAAGCACATGAAAATTGCTTAGCCCAGGCCCAGGTGGGGAAACCTGTGGCCCTCATACGACCTACTCTGCCAGCTCCCCCTGTAGTTCTGATGCCAACTTGAGGTTCCCAGAGGGCACCGGGCCCCTGCAGAACCCACGCTGGGAAGAGTCGCAACGGGGCTATGCACTGGAGCAGATCTGTGGTGTGTTCCGCGTGGACCTGGGGCACATGCGCTCCCTGCGCCTTTTCTTCAGGTGAGAGCAAAATTCTGCCTTCCCTGGACATCTGTGGGCCTAGGGGTGCTTCCTGCATCTGACTGCCGTTTCTGAATGTCCGCTTCCCTTCTGGGACCCCAGTGGTTCTGTCCCAGAGGGCTGCCAGGGCTCTGGCTCCGGGAAGAACCAACAAGGGCTGCATGTATGCAGAAGCAGCTGACCTGTCCCTGGAGGAGGCTCCCAGTCCAGAGCCGTGTTCCGACCTTGTGTCTCAAGGCTGCCAGGGTTGAGCAGATGGTACCCTCTGATGGATGCTTAGTTTCCCTGGGAATTTTCCCCACCGCCAGCCACGGTGGTGCAGCAGGTCTGCCCCCAGGGGCTTCTATGGGCGCCTGCCCTACCAGGTTCCAAATCAACTTTCAGCCAACTCCGGCACTTGGTCAGTGTCCACCCCTTGGATGGGAAAGGGTGATGTGGCCAGGCAGAGAGTGGCAGGAGAAGGCAGCTCTGGGAGGTCATGGGAGAGGGACCCCAGGAGGGAGCTCTGTAGCAAAGGCGCTGCTGGGCATGAGTCAGCCCTCTCTCAGTGCAGCCGGCTCCCCTGGGACAGACTGTGATTACACTTGGAAGTAAAAGCCCCTGTTTGCACCCTCCCTGCCTACCCCCTTGGCCTCAGCGATGAGGCCTGCACCAGCGGCCAACTGGTGGTTGCCAGCCGAGAAAGCCAGTACAAAGTCTTCCACTTCCACCATGGCGGCCTGGACAAGCTGTGTGAGGTGTTCCAGCAATGGAAGTTCTGTGCCGAGACGCACCTGCAAGACCAGGTAGCCCGACAACCCTGACCCCACCCACACCCCAGACCTGCAGTCGGGGCAGAGCTGCAGGAAGCCCCAGGACATCCACCAGCAGATGACCCACTGGACCGTCCCCATGGGGCTGGCGCCCTCCCAGCACATCCTCCTCCCTAGCCTGTGTCAGGGATCCCCATGTCCATCTGTGGGGTTGTGCAGTGACCCCTGTGGTTTTCAGCTGTCTGTGGCCTGAGGGTGCTGACAGCAAAGCACTTGGGGTGGGAGACTTGTGCCCAGGGCTTTTTGAAAGTCAGTGCTTTGCACTTAAAAAATCATGTTTTGACAAGGCTTCCTGCCATATTTTGCTCAATCTACATACAAATGTAATAAGAGCTCTTTAATTATCTGTTTAAGATACTGTATGTGCTTATTAGAAACGGGGCTGACTTTAAAGCCCCATCCTTCCCACAGAGCCTCCTGCTGGCTTCCCTTATTACAGTAGCATGGCGTCTCCCCCCTACACTGAACAACCTTTGATTTTTGAATTAAATGTCAGCTGCAGTCTTGCCCTGGATTCGTGACTGCTCTCGGAGACAATCTGACAGGCTGGCTCCCCACTCGCAGAACAGCGATCCCTTTGTATGTGGCCAATCACGTGTAATTTATTGCAGGCCCTCCTGGCAGAGGGAAGTTAGGCCGTACGGGGCATTCATTCCGTTTTTTTTGCGGCTGGGCTTGGAGAGAGTAGGGGGCGGCGTTCAGAGTGGGAGCAGCAAAGGGAAGCGATTTTAGGATGGAGGTATTTTCATTTTAATTGCGTCTAATTACACTTGCCATTTAGGGTTTGTATGCAGGGGGCAGCGGTTGCCCCTCCTCTCTAAAGAGAGAGAGCCTTGTAAATCCTGGGAACAGCGTCGCCGGCTGCCAGAGCCCGGCATTGGAGATACTTATCTTTGCCCAGTTTCCCTCCCATCCAGCAGGCTGCAGATGAACGGACGTGCATGCAGTTCTCCATCCGACGGCCCAAGCTGCCGTCCTCGGAGACACACCCCGAGGAGAGCTCCTACCGCAGGCTGGACGTCTCCACCTGGCTCAGCCACCTGAATGAGCTGGGCCAGGTGGAGGAGGAGTACAAGCTGCGAAAGGTAAGGCCGGGCCCAGCTGGCCGGCCTCGCTGGAACCCTTGCGGGGACAGACATCTGGAGGGAAGGAGGGCCAGGCAACCAGGGCCGCTGGCTCGGGAGGGTCTCGTTCCTGGTGTGAGGTTCAGCATGCACTCACTGATGAAGTGATCAAAGCAGCTGCCTTGCATACAGCCCCAGAGTGGGCTTGGGGGTCCTGAGTCAGCCTGCACAGAAGGGGCTGCAGAAGTGCAGAGCAGCATTTCCAAAACCAGGGATTAGGCCATGATGTGAGAACGACACGTTAATCGGAGCGCCACCCCAGGGGGCCTTTGACATTGAAATGAGCCGGTTTGTGTCCTGTATGGGAATGGAGGGCCGGTGCTTTCCCCTTGTAAACATGTGCAAATTGCCGGGGTCTGAATCAAGGCGCTCCGAAGCCACCAAAACACATCTCTAAGGATTTGGGGTTCTTTGAGCTGCCCTGTTCTATCCCCCTCCCCAACTTTTGCCGCTTCCTCCAGGCCATTTTCTTTGGCGGCATTGACGTGTCAATCCGGGGGGAGGTCTGGCCCTTCCTGCTGCGCTATTACAGCCCCAAGTCCACATCGGAGGAGCGGGAGGCACTTCGGGTGCAGAAGCGAAAGGAATACGAGGAGATCCAACAGAAGAGGTACTGGGCACCGGCCCACCCCACTGCACCTCAGAGGAAAATGGCCTTGAAAGGGCAATTGGAAGTGCAATTCAGCATCAATAATATGTTTTGTGACCCATGGCTTCTTCTGAGAATGGGTCTCCCAGGAGTGCGAGCGATCGGGTGGGCTAAGTGCAGTCATTATGCCACACGCTCGGGTCCTCGGCGGGGGCTCCTCAGCTCACATGTCAGTTTGAGAACCCTTCTTCAAGAGGCTTAACTAGGCACTGACACCCCCCAGCTGCAGGCTGGGCTGGGAGTAGGGCAGGGCCAAGAAAGTTGGAGTCTGTGTCCCACCTGGGCACCGCTCCCCAGGGACCGCGCTGGGTTCTGCTTCCCAAGGCCGAGGCTGGCTGCCGCTCCCGCGCAATTGGTGTACTGTGTTAGGGCTCTAGGAACTGTGTCGATGAGTTAGCGTGGGCAACCTTGAATCCGCAGTCTTTGGAAGCTGAAAGGTCCGCCCCACCCCTCCATGCGGTACTCACCCCCAGCACTGAATGCTGGACCACAAGGCAGCTCTCTCCCTGCCAGGCTCGCCATGTCACCTGAGGAGCACAGAGCTTTCTGGCGGAACGTGCAGTTCACCGTGGACAAAGATGTGGTCCGCACAGATCGAAGCAACCAGTTCTTCCGAGGGGAAGACAATCCCAACGTGGAGAGCATGAGGTACCCCTAGGGCCAGACAGGGCCGGCACATCCGGTCCTTCCTCACCTGCAGCCAGTGCAGCAGCGGCTTTCTGCAATGTCTCTTCCAAGCTCCCTCTTGCAAGCTCATACAGTCAGGACTCTCCCGGCCACTGCTTCCCAGGGCAGCCACAAGGTGCTGTGCAAGGGTCCCAGCGGCAGCACCACCACCACCACCCTGGCACCCATTAGTCTGTCCTCCACCTCCTGATGGGTGGTCGCTCCTGTGACAAAGCCACACAGAGCCAGAGGCTGGCATCTTTGACATTTTGCCGCAGCCTGGCAAATAATTGCACAAAATTAACAGCCCATAAAAATGTCCCTGCCAGCCCACCCTTTGTCACAAGCAGTCGACCATTAAGAAAATCAGACCCACATTGCTCCTTATCCCTGCGCAGGGCTCTGGGCCTGGCGAGCAGCTAATTGCAGGCCATTACCTTCAGCAAAGCGAGGGCCTGTTTGTCTTGATCCAAAGCTTGGATCTTGTGATAGTCACAGAGCTGGCAGGGCCCACAAGCAGGTGCTGCCTTCCCCAGATGGTGAGAAGGAAGGCCTGGACAGCAGGCCCCAGAGAAGGCAGCCAGAGCGGCCAGGTCAGCCCTCCTCTGCCCTCCCTGCCGCCTCGCAGGAGGATCCTGCTGAACTACGCCGTGTACAACCCGACCATCGGCTACTCCCAGGGCATGTCAGATCTGGTGGCACCCATCCTAGCCGAGGTCCTGGACGAGTCTGACACCTTCTGGTGCTTTGTTGGCTTGATGCAGAACACGATCTTTATCAGCTCTCCCCGGGACGAGGACATGGAGAAACAGCTGGTGAGCACCCAGGCTCAGCACGCATGCACGTGTGTGCATGAATGTGTGTGTGCGTGTGTGCGTGCGTGTGTGTGTGCCTGTGCACACACATACTGGGCAGCACCACAAGAGGGGGCACACCACCATCGTCTCTTTGCCAGGGGTCTCCTTGGTGATGTGTGGTGTTGTCACCAGTCAGCAGCAGCAGAAAGCCTAGGTATGAGGTTGCTGGTGAGATATATTTAGCTTCCCAGGAGGGAGCAGGGTCCCTCAGTGTGGCAGGAGGGGATGGCTCCCTTTTCTGTGCAGGTCTCCTTGGTGGTGGCCTTCTACCTTCATGCACCTGATGGTTCAGTCCAGAAAGGCAAGGACAGGAAGGCCGCATCACACCTGTGCTGTGTGAAAGGGGCTCTCAGTGTGTCTGGGCTGCAGAGCCAACACGGCTGAGGCTCCTAATGCCACCCTGAGGCCAACAGCAGTTCTCAAGTCCTTAACCTTTGCAAAGGTCAAAGGGGTCTAGCCGCCACCCTTCTGGGCAGACCCCTACATAGCTCAGACAACACCAAATGGTGGGAGAAGGAACGAGCCAGTCTGGGCCAGCGGGGCCAAGGCGCTTGTGCTCTGTACTCACTGCACGTCGCCTGTGTGTGCATGCACCTGCCAGGTGCCCCTGTCAGGCTCTGGACTGTGGTCTTGCTCCCAGGCCAAGGGAAAGCTCAGCCTGGAAGCTGTCAGTGTGAGCGGAGGAGGCTGAGCCCTCTGGAGGTAAAGGTGACAGAAAGTGTGATACAGACACAGGAGGACTGCAGGAGCTCCAGGTCCCCTAGGCTGAGGCCGTGTCCACTGTGGGGTCTGGCCCCAAGTGCCACCAAGACTTCGCTAAGCAGGGATGCGGGCTCCGTGAAGCCCCGGCAGACCCAGGGGGCCGAGGAGTTGGTCCTGCAGGTAAGCACAAGAGATGGGATTGCAGCGCATACAACAAAGAGGACTCAGAGCTGAAGCAGTGAGGAGCCTGGTGGGGAATCAGCAGCTCAGCCATCACGGCCTTACGACCTTGACCCTCCCTGCTTGAGGCACTGAGCGTAGACAGGGGCCTGGCAGGAAGGACGGTTGAACACAGCTCCTGGGCCCCTGCAGTCCTAGCCACTGTCTCCCAGGCAACAAAGGGCCACTTGTGCAGGGAGGGGCATGAGGGCTGCTGAGACCCTTCAGCTCTGATTCGAGAATATCTGACCTCCCCCGCCCCAGCCTGTTTCTACTCACGCTCCAAACAAATCATCCTGCATCCCTGTGACGTCAGGTTTCCACGGTACCCGGGGAGGCAATTATGAGGTCTGATGCCATTCACCATTCTTGACGTTCTGGGCCCCATGAGTCGTTAGCTGGCAAAGATTGATTTCTCCAAGGGCATTGGTGAAGTCAGCAGCCTGGGCCAAAATAGCTCTGATCTTGCCCTACGTCACAGGGGGAGTGGCCTTTCACGAGGAATCCAGCGTCCTGGGGCCTTGGCCCATCCCCTGTCTGCTCTGAATCAGCCCTTGGAGATGAAGGATAGTGGCAGGGAGAGGAAAGGGGTGGGGCAGGCTCCCCTGCAGGGTCTGCTCCCCTCTCCAGGAGGGGTGGGTGTTAGGAAGAGCCCTGAGGGGCTGGATGGTGTCCCCTCAAGCCAGCCCATGGGCCACAAGGGTAGGTGCCCCACTGTCCTTGCTGTGGCCCAACATTCAGGAGTCTTAATCCTCAGGAGGTCTTGGCCCAAATGTTGACAGTGGAGCTTGCACCTACTCAAGGGATACCTTCTCACTAGTGTGTGATAAAATGTGAAAAAAAAACTTAGAACACTTCAAATTGTATTTATTTTTTATGTGTATTAAATAATTTTCAATTTATTTTAGTTACAATTTAGAAATTACTAGGTTCGATTCCCGGGCCTGCTGTGTCATCTCTGCCCCCAGGGCGCACTGAGATGGCAGTTGAGACTGAGGCTGGTGGTCGAGTTCACCTGTAATCCCAGCTCTTGGGAGGCTATAAACAGGCCGATCACTACGATCTGATCTACTAGTGAGACCCTGAACACCCTGTAGACCCTTACCTAAAATACAAATACAAAAAAAAAATTAGATTTTTTTTTTTTTTTTCAGAACTGGGGATGGAACTCAGGCCCTTGTGCTTGTCAGGGAAGCGTTTATTCCACTGAGCCATCTCCCTGGCCCTAGAAATTATTAAACAAAGAAATATAACACTGTATCCCAGAGTTTACGGTATCACTCACGGACAATACCCTATCAGACATTGAACACCCTTACAAAACACGTGTTATAACCAAATGGGTGACTTTAGCATGGTGGCTTAATGTCAGTCCTGTAGAGAGACAGCTGCTCTCCACCTTGAGCCTGTGTCCCCAATGTATGCACCAGCATTTAAGAAAAGGGGTGACGTGTCTCAGATCAACTGAGGTCTCCCAGGGATTAAACCGGGGTCAAACTAAAGACTGGTCTGAGCAAGCTTCCCAGGGGTGGAATGGATAAGTGGGCAGTGACCCCCTGTGTGTACTTTTAAAGGCTGGGGTGGAGGAGTGGGCCCAGGCCAAGGCAGGGCTGCAGGTGGGCTGACCCTCCTGGCCTCCCCCAGCTCTACCTGCGGGAGCTGCTGCGGCTGACACACCTGCGCTTCTACCAGCACCTGGTGTCGCTGGGTGAGGACGGCTTGCAGATGCTCTTCTGCCACCGCTGGCTGCTGCTGTGCTTCAAGCGGGAGTTCCCTGAGGCCGAGGCCCTGCGCATCTGGGAGGCCTGCTGGGCCCACTACCAGGTGAGCAGGGAGGCCACCCCAGCCTCCCCCCAGACTTTCTTCTGGGGCCTCCTGTCCCTGCCACATGCCACCAACAGTCAGGCCCTCACAGCAAGTGCTGTGTGGTCCCCTGTGGCTGGCCTCAGCCCTTGCCTCCCCAGTCACTGAAATCGATGCAGATTGCCCACTGACGGTGCTCATTACTGCATTCGGGGCTGAGCTCCCTCCTGTCACAACCAATCAGTGGGAGAGACATCAGCCAGCCCTGAGGCCACAGTGGCCGGGGTGCCAGTGCCCATGTGTGAGGGCCAGCTCACCCAGCCTGCACCCCTGGGACTGCTCTGTGGTACACCAAGATCCCGCGCAGCCTCTCTTCCTCATTCTCAGAAAAGTGCCCAGTGCTGTCCGTCCTCCCAGGCAGCCCCTCCAGAGAGACCTGGTCGGTGGTGCCAGCTTCCACTCACCCTTCACCGTGTCTCCTCCACTGATTTCCTTCCCAGTGCAGGGCGCTCTCTGTCACACGGCTTTAACACCACATCAGGCACCGGTTGTCGATGGGAGAGGATAGGCAGGTCTCTTTGGATCTGTCAGCCTTTAAAAAACAATAGCAGGGATGCAATCTGGAAGGGAGGCCTCTCTCACCTGAGCGCAGCGGCTGCAGCTCCTGCACTGGGCCTTGCAGAGGTGCAGTCGCCCACCTCATCCACTCTGCAGAGGAGATGGGCATTCCCCACCCTGCGCGGTGTCGCCAGGCGGGTATATCTTAAGCAGTGTAGCACAGGCCCCTGTGATACCCGTTCATTCATCACAGCCTGCCACAGCTCCTAGCCCTGGCTGGGGTGTGGGCTGCCTTTCCCACCTGCATGTGTGCCGTGGACACAGGCAGCACGAATGCCCCACCTTCTTCCCCCACGTTCTTCCAGGAGGATCCCGGCATTCACCCCAGCCAGAGTTCTCCCCGCTGCCACAGGGCTAGGCTGAGCCAAAACAAGACCTTTCCAGATCAGTTCTGGGGGAGCAGCTGGGCAGCTTGGGGAGTTGGTCACCCCTAGCCTTGGCTCAAAGTGAGCATTCTTCCGGCCTGACTGGGGACTCGGCGTCCGGGTGGGTGGCAAATGGCAGGAGACAGACGTCCTGAGGCTCATCCTTCCTCTACCTGAGTGCACACACGCACATGGCCAGGACCCCCGCTAGGTCCTGCAAGGCAGCCTCAAAGGAGGGCCGCAGTCTTCCCTGAGCCTCTGACAAGAGAAGAGCCCTGAGATCCTGTCCGTCCTGTCCACCCTCCGAGAGGACACTGTGGAACTGTTCGGCTGCAGTCTGCTTGCCAGAGTCCTAGTAACAGGCCATAGTCTGGGCCTCAGCATGCAGGCAGGAGGGCAGACTGGCACACTCAGGCTGCCAGGCACTGATGTGCCCCAGGAGTGTGTTTTCACTTGACCACCACATGCGGGCCAGGCCTTGGAGGGAGGGTATTCCTTGACCCATCACAGTCACCCCAAAAACCCGACCACAACAGTATCAGCACTCTACAAGCCGGACTCAGAGCAGTGTGGTGTGGGTGCCACACTGCTCATGGGGATGCTTGGTGTGAAGCCACTGCAGCTGCGCAGGACCACAAGACCCTTCAGCTTAGGTCCCAGATCCAGACCCTTGCTATGCACCTCCGAACTCCTCCAGGTGGGGTCAGGGGTGAGCCAGGCCAGCCTGAGCTCTACTTCTCCCCTCAGACCGATTACTTCCACCTCTTCATCTGTGTGGCTATCGTGACCATCTACGGGGATGACGTCATTGAGCAGCAGCTCGCCACGGACCAGATGCTCCTGCACTTCGGAAACCTGGCCATGCACATGAACGGAGAGCTGGTGCTCAGGAAGGCAAGTGGGCTCACCCACCCAGAAGCCCCAACCCCACATAAGGCCCCGCCCCATGCACACAGGCTCCACCCCTGAATGAAGGCCCCCACCTCAGAGCTCCACCCCAAATGCAGGCCTTGCACTCCTGCCCTCCCGCTTTTGGCCTGAGGTTCGGAGTCAACGTCTGCAGCCGCACCTCAGGATTTGTTGTGTCCCAAAGAGGCTGTCCCTACACTCCTGCTGAACCCTGTCCTGGCACTCGGTCCTCCATGGCCAGATTCTTGGGCTGGTGCCCATCCTACAGCTCTGCACTCCCAGCCCAGAGCTAGCGAGACTGAGGAGGAGTCTTGGCCTGAGGGTGGGAGGCAGCTTCCCATGCCAGGTTAGCCAGGACAGGGAAGGGCCTGTAACATCTGTGACCTCCCCCACTTCCAAATTCAGGCTGGAAGTGCTGCTCCTTAGAGTTCTCTTGTGTTCCATGGGGGCAGTAAGGAGGGGTTCTCTGCACAGGACCTCAAAACAGACCCCACAGTAGCCCAAGGTGGCTGCTGGACAGGACGGGGCACCAGAGCCTCCTAGTGGCCTGGGCAAGTGGTGAAGCACTAATCAAAGCAGTCCTGCAGGGAGACCATTTGGGAGCTTGTGTTGAGCCACCTAGAACATCTCCTGAAAGCTTCATGGTCCCTTTGCCATGGCCACTGCAGGCCCAGGACCTTTGTGCTGTCACTGAGTGGAAGCCAGTGAGGAGAGCCCTGAGCCATCCACAGACCGAGCCCCAAGCATTGGTCAGCACTGCTGCTGCTGCCTTCAGCTGCTCCCTGGGGACCTGGCCACCGTCTCCCCCTGACCCTGTCCTCTCTCCTTGTAGGCCAGGAGTCTGCTGTATCAATTCCGCCTCCTGCCACGCATCCCCTGCGGTCTGCATGACCTGTGCAAGCTCTGTGGGACAGGCATGTGGGACAGTGGGTACATGCCCGCCGTGGAGTGTACCGGCCTGCACCCCGGCTCTGAGAGTTGTCCTTATGGGGGCACCGTGGAGGTGCCTTCACCCAAAGCCCCAAAAGATGGCAAGAAGGGCCCAAAGGCATCTCGGGAAGGCTTTGGTTTCCGCAGATAGAGGCTGCTGCCTGCCTAGGACAAGGGGTGAAGAGCCTCACCAGAGGTCCTAGCATGTGGGAGGGGGTGGGGACGGGCGTGGAAGGGACAGGGATGGTAAAAATGTAAGAAAGATGCCTTTGGGCAGCATGAAGAGAACCATTGCACAGTAATGATAGAGTCGGGAAATGACAGCAGTGGGCCTACCAGTCGCCCAGAGAGAGGCTGGCTCCAGGAACTTGGGGGGCAGGAGTGCCTCTGGATGCAGGCCACTCACTGGGCCCTCGTACCAGCCACGTTCGGTGGGCTTAGCGTGACCCAGGAGTTCTTCTTTGCCAGGGAATGGAAAAGCAGGAATAAGAGAAGGAAGCCTTATTCACCCCCAGCACCAAGGGATGCAGAAAAACAGGGTCTTCTGCCCAGGCACAGTGACATCCCAGCAAGCCGGGCACTTCCACGTCCACCCCACACTCTGCCAGGAGCCAGCACGAGAGAGACATCTGCCAGAGTGGCCAGGAGAGGTCTCCTGATGCCAGGACCAGTGTTAATACTGGGGACTGGGTCGGGGTAAGCATTGTGCCCACGGGGGAAAAGAAGTGCCTGTCCACGAGCCAGAGCCTCAGGCCCCATTGGCCAGATAATACCCCTTGGTTGGGACCTTCACCTAAGATCAGAGGTGCTGTTTACGGTCAGCCCTACCATATACAGCAGCCAACTGGGGACCAAAAGGGCTGAAGCATGCGTGTGTGTGTGTGTGTGTGTGTGTGTGTGTGTGTGCGTGTGTGTGTAATATTAAGTGACCAGCCAGCCAAGACCAGACACCTGAGCTGGCTGGGAAGGTTGGGCTATGTCCCTCAGGGACTGCAGCCTCTGCCTGAACATGGCCTTCCCATCAGTCAGCTTCTCAGGTGGCTGGGCACAAAGGGCCACTGTCACATAGCAGCACACAGGGCTCTCAGCTTCTGGGTGGGAACGAGACTTCCCAGCACATTGTCCTCCAAAAGGCTGGCACTTGCTGCTTCTGGGAGAGAGTGATGGACAAGCCACACTTGTGACCTGTGATGAGCGCTCTCTCAGCCACACATGGAAAGCCACACCTGAAGCAGTGGGAGTGGGGTGCTTGGAGCCCTCTCCCGATGTCACCCAGGGGCAAAGGGTCCTCCTGTGCTCAGCTCTGTCGTGGAAGAGTGGGCACTGCTGGACAGTGCCACTTTCAAAGGATGTTTGTCAACAGGAAGGAGAGGAGTCCCTGTCACCGGCCCCTCCCTTTTCTGTTCTCATAAGCCTGGTCCTCTCCTCAGGAACCTTCAGATTCCCAGGTCCCTCTGTCCAGGAGCCCTGGGGTGGGGGTGGGACTGAGAAGCCCAGTTACTGTGTTGACCTTGAGCTGCTGACCTGACCGAAATGATCTTGCAGCAGTGGCCCTGGGAGGTGAGATTCTCATCTGTTTTGCTTCTGAAAAGAGGGTTGTTGGCTCCTGACATCCTGATAAAATAGCTAGAGCAAACCAGGCCTGTACTGCCCCAACCTCTGGGAGCTGGACCCTGGAAACAGGTATACTGTCAGCTACCCCTTCCCACAATAATATGCTGTAGCAAATAGCCCCTAAACCTGGTGGCCTGAAACCCTGTGCGCTTAGCTCACACACAGAGAGGTGCTGGTCACAGTCCTGGGGGGGGGGGTCTCATCTCCGTTGGACTTGCTCAGCGTTGAGGTCTCACCGACTGTGGGGTCCCAGGGAGGTCCATCCCCGGTGGGGGTAGGTCTCTCACATCCCTGCTGCTGCTGTCCAGTCCTACTGGGCTGTGCCTTTCCAAGCCCTGCAGACATTGCACCTGCTAACATCACTGTGGCTAAAGCAGTCGTGTCGCTGGACTTGGCATCCTGGGGTTAGGGCCTGGCCCCTCTCCTGTAGCGGCCCATCTTCGTGTCAAGTAGACAAAGCCTAAGAATTCATGAGAGGTAAGAGCCAGGATGACCCTTCCAATCTCCTTCCACCACTGTTGCTGCTACCCCATGTCACTCCTTGCTGGAGAGGAAGAACAGTGTCCTGCCCTCCCCGCCCTGCAGCCTGACACCTTGAGCCTTTGGGCTGCCATATCTGGAGGATGAGATGAAGGAGGGGAGCAGGTGGAGTGGCATCTTTCCTGTCTCAGCCTCCCCAGGTTCCTCCCTGGCAGTTCCTAAGACCTGACCCAGACCCACCAGCTGCATCCTTGCCAGGTGCCACCCCTGCCCCTCCCCCCACCCCATGGGCCGACACAGGTCCAGGAGACATCTGCACCTGTAGACCAGCTAGGGTCTTGGAAGCCAGACCTGGTAGTGTCAGTGGGAGAAACCCTGCTGGGGGTGGGGAGCGGGGTAGAGAAGCCCTCCTTCACGCAGCTCCCTTAATCTGGATGCAATTAGAGGAAACCAGCCAAAAACCCTGCGGCAGCTGTTACCCCAGGATTATTCCCAGCCAGCAAAAGGCATTAGGGTGATAATTCAGTCATTAGACTCCAAGCCTTCCCACCGCCAGGACGTGCAAATAAGGGGTAATCAGCCCAGCACTGCCATCCTCAGCGATGCTGCTTATTTAACCCATTTTTTAAAATGACACTTAATGTTATTGGCCGGTGTGCGTGTGTGTGCATACTTAAAAGTTGGCGCTCGGGCCAGCCCCGCCACTACTGTCTGTGCTGACAATGCTGTGTGATGTCATCCGGGGCCTCTGGGACAGGAGGGCACCTTTGATGTGTGTATCCAGGCGCTAGCAGGGCAGTAGTGAGGCTTGACGCCTGCTGCCACCGAGGGAAGTCCTGCCGACTTCTCACTCAGGGAGAAAAGCGGATGCCAGGGGCTCAGGAGGGGGACACACCAACAGGAACTGGAAGAGCTCTGTGACCAGGCCAGAAGGGTGTTTTCCCAGGATGCGGGGGACACAGCGCTCTTCTGGAAGGTTCTACCTCAAGTCCCAGCTAGGAAGACTCACTAATCATGTCTCAGCTCACCTCTGCAGAAAAGCAGGGCCCGGAGTCCACACGGGTAGCCCTGGGCCTGGACACTATTCATACAGCATCCTCTCGAGCAGCCGAGCCTCAGGCAGGAAGGTCGCTTAAATCTCAGAAGCAAAGGTGTCAGCCTCAGAGCCTGTGTCACACCCTGCTGGATGAGAGACCACCAGCTTTAAAATGGGAGCTACCTTTTGCCTTGGACTGTGGCCAGGGCTGGCAGAGGGCACCTGGCTCTTACCTTTGATAAGTGGTTCTGGAGGGGTGGATGACCGCAAGGAAGTGGGGTGAGGACTGTAGATGGGGTTTCAGTTCCTGGAAGGTCCTCAGAGCTCTTGTCTCCTGGAAATGACTGAAAGAAGGTGGCCTCAGGGAATTGGGGATCAGCTCAGGCTGTGCCCTTCCTAGCCTCCCTCCTGTCCAGCTGCTTCTGCTCTCTGCAGGGGGCTGGTCCTGGACACTCTGAGCCCACTGAGAAGAGGGGTGCCACCTGAGACAGTGGTGGACTGGCTGCCCAGCTGGGCCCACCCATCCCTGATGTCCCTGGGAATAACCCTAGAATCTGAGAGGCCTGGGGCTCTAGCCCCGCTACAGGGGCTTCTGTCCTCAGCAGAAATGTCCCACCTCTACACACCAGTTTCTCCCAAAGTCCTTCCTCAAGCTGAGAAGCTGCGCTGTGCAGAGAAGCAGCTCTTCCCTGGGGTCGGGGACATGGCCTCCCTGGTACTGGCCTTCTACCTCTCCAGCCTGTTTCCTGTGAAGCAAGAATAAGGCACTCCCAGGCTGTCTCTCAGGGCTGCCTTGGGGACCCTGGGTGTTCATGCCACAGCACCAATGGTTTACTGTGGCCCAGGACTCACCTGCCACTCAGGGAAGAGACCACTGGCCTCAGCCTTCAGCAGCGTTGTCCTTGTGGGGCCACATGCTGCAGGTGGCTTGGAGTCAGCAAACCCACCTCCCTCCCATGAACCTCCCTTGCTAGGTGTCTTCTGCCTCCTCTGTGAAGTTCACTCCACGCCATTCATTCATGCCATGAAGAAAGATCAGCCACAGAACCTCCTCAGTGAGCCTGACATGGGTGCCAGAGTGCATGTGTCTGTGTGGGAAGCTCTTCCGTGGAAGGTGTTGTGTGCCCTCCAGGTCTGACCCTGTGTCTGCAAAACCTCACTGGCTACAGACTCTGGCCTCCTGGGTCAGAGCTTGGGACCAGCAGGACGTGCCTGGCCCGCCCTCAGCAGAGAGAAAATGCAAACAGCCTGCCACAGCCTACTGCCTTGTATGTCGAGGCTGGACGGCAGCACTTCAAGTCCAAAGAGAGATTGGGCCCTGTGACCATCTGTACTCAGGCAATACAGATGGGTACTTTGTGGGTAGAGAGTTATTTGAAAGAGGTCTCCTGCAATCTCTGCCATTCCCAAGAGGTTAATGATGTCTGCAGCAAGCGACTGGTTCTCTGTGCTCTGCTTTTTTTTTTTTTTTTTTTTTTAACTAATTGCCCATCAGTCAGGCCCAGGGCTAGCACCGTGACCCCTTGTGAGCCATGGCCCCAACTGCTTCTGGCTTTCATGGATTCCACTGCAGAGAAAATAAAAATTATTGACAACTAGTGTGCCCAGTACAGCGCCTCTAAGGAGGGGTGAGGTAGTAGGGGCATTGCTAGGCTTGGAAGAGGTAGACCGAGGTGCTGAGCAGGGAAGGTTCAGTGGGAGATGAGCCAGGAAGGCCTGTGGTCACTTCAGCCTGCCCCAATGCTCAGCTGCTCTGAGCTGGGGAAGGGGAGGCAGCTCCAGGAGCTCATAGAGAGCCCAGGAGGCGGAGCCTGCAGTGCTGCTCGGCAGGCTTAACCTGGGCAATGAAGGGACTGGTATTTGGCCTGCAGAGGCTGGCGAGGAGGAAGGGCATCCAGAGCCTGGTGCAGGGCAGTGGGTGGGCAGCTACCCCAAGCCGACCAGGTCTCAGAGCCCCTGGGATCCTTGAGCTGACCAGTGTCTGAAAATATAAGCAGCATTCTTTTCAGCAGTAGCAGCCAGAGCTCCAACTTCAGGAAAGTCTGAATCTTGCAGTTACAAATTTACTTTTTTAAGGAGGCAAAAGGGAGCACTTGACCTTAATGGACAGGAGCTAAGGGAAAATTTAGGCGTGGGCCCTGCATCTTGTTGCCCTGCTGAGCCCTGGGAGCCAGGATGCCGGGACATGTGTCTAGGACATAGTGGGACAGTGGGCTGGGTCCTAAGGGGTCAGGGCTTCCAGAGCAAGAGACGGGGCTGGAGCTGCTTTCCCTGTGTGCTGTGTGTGTCTTTCTGTCTCTGTGCCTACCGGAGGCACTGTCAGGAGGTCTGATGTCTACACCACTGGGGTCCCCTGCTGAAGCATCTGTCTTGCCCTTTGGCTATGCCCTTGTGTGCGAGGAAGTGTCCCCAGGAAGCTGGCCAGTGAGTGCCAGGCTGAGTGCGGGCTGACAGGTCCCCTTGGAGGCCATCAGAAATGACAGTGCTGGACTGGGGAGATAGTGCAGCGGCCTAAGTGCCTGCCTGGCAAGCACAAGGTCCTGAGTTCAATCCCTGGTACCAAAAAGAAAAAAAAAAAAAAAAAAAAGAGAGAGATTTAAGATATTTTGAGACCAGGAGATGGCACATACTTGTAATCCCAGTGCTGGGGAGGCTGAGACAGGAGGATCACTAGGAGTCTGAGCTACATAGTGAGATCCTGTACCAAATACATAAAAAAAATTAAAAAGTGGCAGTGCTCTGTGCTGTGCAAGGACACCTCTGTCCCTTTGGTAGTAAGCAGGGCCAGGGCCAGGTCACAGGGACAAGCCACTCAGACAGCCAGACTTCCTGCTGTCCCAAGGCACTCTTGTGCCTGAGAAAGGCACATCTTTTGCACAACAGCTGGGCCATGCGCGTAGCTCACTGTTTACTCAGCAGCCACTGGCGGAGGCTACACGGAGCGAGGGCCACACTCTCGTTCACAGCAGGGAGCACGCCCGCAGCCCCGCCCACGCAACGTTCATGCAGCAAGCATTAGCTCTACTTGGTTGTGCTAGGGGGACTCATCCTGCTGTGCCCTAGACTCCCCCCAGGAATCAGCATGGGACATACAGGGCTGGTTCGCGTGTGGAGCAAGGCAAGTGCATCACCATCCTCTGCCTGGGCAAACCCCATACTCCCAGTTTCTATGTGGCCTTGGACGGCCCCTCTGCCACAGGTGTGACCGGCTCCGGAGATGCAACTGAGCAGGAAGTGCCCCCTCATCTCCTCCAACTCTAGTTGAACCCCTGAGTGAGCCCCCATCAATCCAGGGCTGTTCCAGTGTTGCTGGCCTTTCTCTACTCCATCCCACACACACAAGCTGAGGGTGAAAGCTCTTGCGCAGAACCACACACTCTACTCCTGACCCTGACTGTCACTGAGTTGCCCATTATTTAAACCCAAAGTAGCCGGGGTGGGTGAGATAGCTCACCAGTCTAAAGCACCTGCTTAGGCAAGCTTAGGCAACCACACGGATTGCAGGGATCACAGTTCGATCCTGGCACCACATGCCAGGCCGGCCCCCAGGGCAGGCTGAGCCTGCCACAAAAAAAAAAGAAAAAAAAAATTAACTCCTACTGGAATATCATGAAAAAAAATGAGGGATGATAAACCCAAAGAAGCCAATGAGGCCTGGCTCTGGGTCACTGACGCTGCCCTTACTGCACATGTGCCTTGCCCCAAGCACAGAGAGCCTCCGTTCCCTGCTCTCTGCCCCAGAACAGGAGAGCGTCACCCATGCTCATTTCTCAGCCAACCATGTGCCTGAGAGGGGCTGACCTGAGGCCACTTCCCCACCCTCTGTGTCCAGAAGGCACCTCCCTGACCTTGCCCATGACCTTCGGATGTCAGCATTCCCACGCATCAGAAAGGGGGGTGCCTTCTTGACTCAGCCCCCACCCACCCATGTCCTCCATGTCTCAGGAGAGTGGTCAGGCCGTGGACTGCTGGCTAAGTGGCATGTCATTCACAAAATAGCCCTCAAGTCTCTGAACAGGGGTAAGTGCGCCTCAACCACCAGGTGCTGTCAGCTCTTCAACCCTGAACAGAAAAGGACCTGACTTCCGAATATTCTGAGCCCCTATCTAGAAGCTGAACTTAGGATGGCGTGAAGGAGTGCAGTGCCACACACAGGCTGGGAATGGTGGCCAGCTCCACGGGCAGCCAAGTCCCCACCCACTCTCCCACCACCCCACCACCCCACCCCTCCACCCCGGCAACGAGTGGTTCCGGCAGTATCCGACAAGGCCAAGACACACATTTTCTGATAAAGGTCGTTGCTTCCTGGCCGTGAATAAATGCCTTGGAAAATGACACCAATTGTCCTAATGGCTGCAAGTCTGCGGGAAGTGAGCACGTGGCCTAGCAGTTTTTAAACCTAACAATATAGTATGGCAACAGAGAAGTCCTGTCAGGAAAAGTGCTCAGAGCTCTGCTTGGCTTCCTGGAGCACCGTGGCCAGTGTCGGGGGGACAGGCAGAGGGTTCTGAGAGTGACACCAAAGTGACTAAGAAGCCTTCAAAGGGTAAGGGATGGACCTCACTGTAAAGCATGCTGGGTAATGAATGTCAGGCATTATGAGCTGTGGAAAGGGTGCCAACTAGCAGTTTGCTGCTTCTCTTGGGTGGGAGACCCAGGCTAAGGTGCTGCTGGCTGTGGGAGGCTCTGCTGGGGGTGTTAGGAGATGCCGCTCCAGTCCCTTCTAGAATGCTGGGGCTCGGAGGGCAGGCTCTGGGTGTGGGCCTCACCCTGAGCGGGAAACAGATACTGCTAAGATCCTCTGGTCCTTCAAATCCCTCTGTGAAAGGAGATCCCAATCTACCAAAAAAAAAAAAAAAAAAAAATCAACAGACTGAGACAAAAATCCACCAGGAACTGGAGTCTCAGTGGGTAGGTAGCAGATGGGTCGCTGCAGTGACAACTCCCAGGAGGTGCCCAGCAGCCCAGCCTCCCCTCGCTCTGTGCCCACCTCCTCCACATGTTGCAAACTGGAAATAGGTGTTCAGAGACCCACACCCTCCTTTCCCGAGAGCCTGCACCCTGTTGGCTTTCTGACAGATGCCCAAGTTCTGTGGAACAATTGCTTTAGAGGGGAGCCCCTTCATCTTTCTGCTTGACAGGCTCAGCCCCCCCACCCCACCCCCCGCACCAGGTGAGCAAGCAGAAGAGACCTTTTAGGACATGGCGCCAGCTGTCCTGGGGCAGCGTGGTGGTGGAGCTTCCGGCTGCACAGGGGAGGCTGGACACTTCTAAGCAAGCTGCCCGTGTGGCTCAGGAGCAGGACGCCGGTGGGCAGTTAAGGAGGCTGGAGCAGTGGCCAGCCACAGGCGTCTGCAGGTACTCACAAGGCCACAGAGGCCTAGCCAGGAAAAGATCTTCCTACTTCCTGCCTACAGCCTCCCTGTTAGTGTGCCCCTGACCCCTGCCCACATAGCGGCCACAGGATAGCTGCCCAGACCCTCTAGGATACTGCAGATTTGGTCTGAGCAGGACCCCCAACTCTTGGTGGCCAGGGTACAGCCACCAGGGAAGGGACCCATCTATAATGGAGACTAACCAGAACACCAAGGTCTGTTTGCATGTGGGGGTGCTCCCAGCCTTCCATGATCTCTGGTAGAAGGGACACCCCACCCAAAAGTACTCCAGGGGGCCAGTGGTCAGTGGTCTAAGTGCCTGCCTGGCAAGCTCAAGGACCTGGGCTCGATCCCCAGTACCACATGCCTTGCCTGCACACACCTGTAATCCCAGTGCTCAGGAGGCTGAAACAGCAGCTACAAGTCTCAGCTGTACAGCAAGACCCAGTACCAAACAAACAAATAGATTTTAAAAAAAATTAAACAGCGCTCCAGAGCACTACCTTTCCCAATGTGCTCCAGAATGTCAGCCTCTCCATCTAGGCCAAAACACCAACCGGCGTGGGCTCGAGCAACACCCTTACTTGCTCTTGCTCTGCAAAGCGAGAGGAGGGAAGGTATAGGTGCGTGGAGCCCCCAGCCCACTGCAGGTCTTTTGTCCACAGGCGATGGAGTCCCTATGCCAAGGTGGAGGGAGGTGCAGGTGGGCACCTGTGGGCTCAGAAACCATCCTGGGCTGATCCCCATTTCAGCATCATGAGGCTAGCTCTGTTCACGCCAGTCCCCCCTTCAGTGTGGGGCTTCGTGGCCGCTCCACTCCATTTCACAGCCAGCTTGGTATTCGCAAATCAGCAGACACTGCAGCTTGGAGCCACTGTGCACACAGTTCCCATGCAAGTGGGGAGGGGACTACCAATTTAGTCATACCCAGCATGCTCCAGGTAAATACCAATAGCTGGTAACACATGGAAGTTGGGGGAGTCCAGTAACAAGGACACTGTGCAAGCCAGCTGCTCTGCTGCAGGAAAGCACACAGAGCCCCAAGAGGACCTGGGCCTCCTGCTGTGCCCCAGGACCCCAGGGAAAGCTGCCCCTGGCCCATCCAGAGCAGCACCAGGGCATGGTGGGACCTCTGGCTCCTGCCTTTCAGGGCCCACCCTCCCACCCTGCCCTGCCCTGGCCCTCAGAGCCAACGCCAGCCAGGACACCCACACCTGCCAAGGTTCCAGGCCCCTATTTCACTGGGCTTCCTTGTCTGTCTATCCTTATGAAACCTTCTCTCTCTCTCTCTCTCTCTCTCTCTCTCTCTCTCTCTCTCTCTCACACACACACACACACACACACACACACACACATTGTGCCCCCTTCTGCAGAATCTCTGAAAAGTGACCCTCAATCTTCCAAAGAGCACCAGGTACCGGGGGGATGGAGCCAAGACCCCTCCGCAGTGCCTTCGGTGACCACCCCCTCCATCCTCCGGGCTAAGAGCTGCATGTGCTCGTCTTGGGCAGAGTCCTCTGAATGGAGTTAAGCCTGCGCCAGACCCTTCCTCTCTGGGAGACAGAGCCGAGGAGGGCAGGGCACCGCTGACTGCCCACCAGGGGAGAATTGCCAAGTACCCCACAGTGGGATGATGGATGCAGTCAGCAGGGCCCACTCCAGGGGGGATGGCTATGTCCCCAGTGGCCATCCACTCTGCCTCATACCCACCAGTGGAGAGGGGCTAGCCAACGGGGCTGGAGCCACCGGTGGCCTTGGGTATCACACCTGCCCTTTCTGGGCATTAGGGAAGGGAGGCTGGAGGGGTAACGCCCTAGAGGAGGGAGGCCTGCACTTCTACCCTGAGCTCCCCACTCTGC